TTTTATTTGTTTTTCTAAAAATTATAAAATTATTATTTTATAATTAGTATAATATTGTTTTTATTTGTAGTTTTGTTATACACATTTTATATATTGCATATTTATATATTGCATAAATTATTGTTATATATTTTATATTGCATATATATATATATATATATATATATTGCAAAAGGCCTGTTAAGAATGTAAATTAAAGTAATTTGAAAATAATTTTTTTGTTTATGTTTGACAAACTTGCTTTGAATCAGTTTAATGAAAGTACTATTTTTGCTTATTATTACATATATATAATTGGAAGCAGTTTATCTGTAAATAAATAATTACAAATAATATTTTTAGCAATTATATATATACATTGTTATTATGTTTTCTTGTTTTTTGTGGCTGCATTTTAATTATTTTTCTAAATATTCTAAATATTATTATTGTTGTATTATTAGTATACTATTGTCTTTATTTGTTTATAGTTGTTGCATTTTATTTATTTATTCAAATATATATATATATATGCATATAGAATATAAATTATTTGTAAAATTGGAAGTAATTTGGACATTATTATTATTCTTTTCTAATATATATTACACACACACACACACACATAGGCTATATATATATATATATGTGTGTATGTGTGTGTGTGTGTGTGTGTGAAATACTTGAAATGAGTGTGGGGCAGGAGTCGCTGTCCAGAGAAGATGGCTGTCGTCGGTCCATGTGCTGATGTGCTGAGGTCAGCTGCTCTGACGATGTTGCACTACTGTACCATCCATTCTAGCAGTGCAATAGTATTGTCATAGCATTTAGCCTCTGATATGCTCAACGCTCCGAAACAAGTGCTGCATTGCTTGGATTGTCCCCTTACGTTACCCTGCAACTGTAACCGGTGTAACGCACATGTTTGATCAATAAAATCAGTTCTTTTTCGACTTAAAACTGAGTTCAGCCGTCATTTGTTTTGGCGACCACGCCATTTTGGCTCAGTTATCGCGCCATGCGTCAGGCTAAGTTTGGAGCTAAAGGGCCGAAATAAAGGTGCACGGTCGGACCCTCCCTTGTCGCAGGTTAGCAGGGGGAAGGGAATGTTTTCAGTGGAATGCAGGGAGGCAAGTCCAGTTGTGAGTACAGGGGTGGGGGATGGTCAGGAGAGGGGCCCAGGACTGCTTAAACGTGTCTCTCGGCATTTCTGAGACAGTCCTTAACATAGCTGAGTGAATCAACCCTATAGGGGCGAGTCGCTACACACAAGGTGTCTGTACTTGCCCCGTATCTATACTAATATGCTGGTGTTGACTTGAAGTGCAGAATACTAAAGCTTAGGTTACTCCATTAACATAAACTCACAAGAAACTACACGTTAAGGCTGTAAACGTGCTATCAGCTGTTAAGTGATAAAAATGTTCCTCAAAGTTTTTGCACCGAAGTTGCACAATTTTAGGAATACGCCTGGGGTTAAATGTTAACCCCGTTTATCCATGGGGGTGGTAAACTCCCAGCGACTGGAGCACCTCAAATACCTGGGTTACGAATGCGACTTGTCGGGGCACGTTTGCAAAGGTTTCTGGGAAATTGTGGAATGTGAGGAATGGGATATGATACATGTGTCTGTGGTGCTCGGGACACATCATCACAGGGAGCTTTCGCTTCTCAAGCAAGTCGCTCAATAATCTGCTCGTCTTCAATGAAGTCACAACCGCTTGATTATGGAGAAAAAACATGCATTTATGAGTGTTTGGTTAATTCCATTACGCCTTGTTTCAACCCCATGTTTGTACTGTTAGACATGATGTAACAAGTTAATTACTGCTGAATTGCACTCTAGTGTTTGTGCTTATCGAGTTTCATTTGAAGGTCACTCAAAAAGGGTCAAAGAGCACTTGAGTTAAACAATTGAGTGTGTTATTAACGGTTCATTAACTCGCCTCATCTCAGGCCTATAAGGATATGAAACTGTCCATATCTGGTGTCTTAAGGGAACTATGTTATTTGTCATGTAGTAACTTAATTTTACAGCAAACTTAAATGTGGTTAGATGGTTCTGTTTGAAATTGAGTAGATCCCATTACCTTCAAAGAGCACGGGAATAGCAAGTACACAAGACTTCCTCCTCAACACATTGGGATTTATTTAGGGAAAACCCGTTTTATCCATCATTATTCCTGATCAAAGCCTTCAATGTCTTCTGTTGGAGACCTCATATTTTATTCATTAGGGCGCTTTCCAGGAAAATAGTAGTGTCCGAAATGCTTAAAAAGCACGTACAAATGTTGGTCATTAGCCTCGGGTCATGCTAAATTGGATATGAGTTTCATTTTATATTCATTTTATATTGGTTTTGTAATTTGTGCAACCCTGTTGGCAGTTTAAATCCCTGATTTGTGTGGTTTTGCCATTTTCTTATACATTTTTATAGGTCTCCTTTACAAATTGTTTGTTAATGACAGACTCGTGTTCCTGTAAGTCAAAGAAAAATATTTGTGTTATAATTTTCCTTGTAATAACAGGCTTGGATGGTTGAAGCTTGACAAATGCAGTCAACACTTGTTCTATAACCCTTCTTAACTTTACTTCATATCCAACAATTTGTTGAACTTGAATGTAAAAATCTAGTACAATCTACATACTACGTTTTTGTTACTCAGAAAACAGTTCAAGAGTTTTTAAGAGTAAAAGAGTTACTAAGGTGGGGCAATTCTTAATATAATTTTCACTAATTTTACAGTGTAAAAACAAATTTGTTCAGTTTACTTAATTAAATTGTGCAAACTCGTTGCCGTAATTCAATTTAGAAAGCTTAACATAATTCTATCAAGTAGCTATATATTAAAAGTGTTTCTTACTTATTTTGAGTTTAGTTAACTTAATTGTATCTGCGATCTGATGAACAGTGAACTCGAATGCATTGTGGCATGAATAAATTAATTAGTTGCTTTGTTTTACTATCTTTTTGGCTTTATTTGACAATTTGATTTGCCGTCTTGTGTCAGTAGCACAATAAAGACCGAAAATAAAGTTGTTTTGCAATGGTCAGCAACTCAGCATGCAATGTTGTTGATTACATTAGCCTACAACAAGGGGGATCAACCCCCTTTTTTGATGTTTCACAATATGGTGTTTATGATTTTTTGTTAGCAATATAATTATAATAGACCATAATTCAACATGAAATAGTGATTTAATGAGAAGTCGGGTCATCTTTTTAAAAAAAAAAACTTAGGCTATACTCTCTAACTTTCAAACCAAAAATAGTAATATTTATGAAGTTGCCAATGGAACACTAATCACCTTAATGGTGACAAAACCATTTAAGGTTAAGTAAAGGTTAACAATCAAGTTAAATCAACCTCAATTTATGAAGTCAACTTATGTGATAATGTTCTCTCAAAAATGTCAAGGCAACTAGGAGAAAGATGACTGCAGAAGTGGAGGAAATTAGTGAACATTATATTAAGAGTTGCCCTGACTCGAACTCTTTTGCTTGATAAACTGGTACTAAAACCAATCAAGTAATCTTAATTTGAGGCATAGGCATATATGAATAGTACATATTTATAGATTTGTACAATTAAGTTCAACAAATTGTTGGACATTAAGTAGCCACAGATAACTAAGAAGGGCTAGTTAGAACAACTGTTGGGTTTTATTTTTTTATAGAATGGGGTGATATTATTTCATGATATAGGCTATGTTACTTCGTTGTAAGGACTGTTACTTAACAGGGTTGAATGCTAAATTGTTTTTTAGAAAATAAAATCTGTTCAGTAAAAGATTGTACATGAATGAACTTAGTGTCAAAAAATAATGTTTGTTGTATGACTGTAAGCGTTAGATTCAGGCATGAAGATCAAGAGAAGGTTCAAGTTAAACAATCTAGTTTTACAAACATATCAAATGTAGCTAATTATCACGACAAAAACACGCGATTTGTGCCTCTATGCTCGAGACAAAAAGTCACATGACATTCATTGGCTTGCATACACTAGTAGCCTACTTATGGATTAATTAAAATAGTTTTATCGTACTTTCTTTGAGTTTTATCGTAAGTAGCCTATGCTTGATGTGCACAGTAAATTATAACCTGTCTATATGCTACCTTTACACGTGCTACATTTTTATGATAATCATTTTAAATATATTTTAATCGATACCTGTTGCAGGAAATTAATCTGCTGGTTTTATGGTCATTTGAAAAAGGAAAAAAAAAAGGTAGGCCTTGTTCACAGGTTATAGTTGTTCTCAGGTCGACGCCGCGGGAATCAAAACAGAATAGCGTGAAATATTGATGTTTGAACACACAGTAGCGGTGTGTGGTATCTGAGCTGTTTATAGCTACAAAGGCAGGGCATGATATGGTCTAATTTTATAATCATGCTCTAACAGAAGCTGGTTATGATCAAATGATAGTTCTCCATTCAAGTCGGGCGCACACACTATAGTCTTTGCCGCCATCTTACGGACAACAGAGATCTTCCCGAAGATGTCCGTATGCTAGTTAATTTACCCGTTACTGATTAAAAGTTTTTAGTTTTTACTGCAATTAATCTTCTGTTTTCATGAACATGCAGTTTCAGTACACTTCCTCGACCTCTATATCATATGGCATATTAAAAATTTCATTCAGCAATTAAAGGCTCCCATGCAGGGACAAAGTTGAACTCATTACAACAGGAAATTAACTTTCACATGTGTCTGAGGTTAATCAAATTAGAAATAAATATGACAACAGAATAAGTCTAAAATAAAGCTCTTTAATTATATCAATTCATTATAGCCTACTTATGAAAAACAGTAGGCCTAGCCTAAAAGTATAAACAAACAAACAAAAAAATATATATATGGCTAATATAATATAATAGGTATAGGCCTATATTAAATCAGTATAGGGGCAGAATAGAACAGTTTTAGAGTTACTTTCTAGATTAAGTTGTTATACATCAATGTCTGCATTATTGTATAGGCCTAAGGTCTATGATATAATAAACAAAAGTAAATAAACATTTCACCAATGAGACAAAAGGCTAGATGCTTTATCAAAGCTCTTAATCACGAACACAGAATAAACAGAATATAAAAGTTTTATAAAATGGTTAAATAATGATTTTACACTTGCTTTATAAATAATAACAAAACAGCTGTTAACTTAAACCATATGACATGCAAACGTAGCAAATTCCTTTTAATCACAAATTAGACATTTCTGCCAGAATCATACTTTAGCTAAACTGCAAATCAACCACACAAGCGCTGCTGTGTATCAATGCACAGTTTTAAGGCAGGAATGGAAACTGAGAAAGTACAACATACACATTAAATAAAAAGTTCAAATTTACAGCAGTAATAATAATTAAAAAAAAATATCAGTCCTCATGTCTCTGTGGATGAAGCTGGGTCATTTCGGGCACAATTTTCATCTTGTCCGCAGTTGGCATCGTCGCACTCACACTGCCTCTGTGTGCAAAAGATGTAAATCACTTGGCAAAGAAAAAGCATCATTTTAGAACAAAACCATGGGAAAACATTATTGTTACATTTAAAACATTACGATGTTTGAGAGTAATAAATTTTAGGAATATAACAAAACATTTATAATTATTATATAAAAAGTGAAAGCGACTCAAACCTGGATGTTTGTGCTTTTGAGCATGTGCTCTGGCAGCTCTGTGATCTGCTCTTTGGTCTGAGACTCCACAGCGGCCTCGTGTGGCAACTGTTATGAGTGACAACATTCATTCATTATACACACACTAGGAATTTTGACAAAAATATCAGCACCTATTTTTTTTTTACTAGCAATTTAGTAGTCTTAGAATAGTACTATAAATAGTTTATTTAAAAACTTTTACAATTATATTATCATTTTATAACATAATTGTAAAATTTCGACATAAAATTAAATTATTTCGACAACTGTATTGGAGAGTGTACCAGGACGTGGGGGGCTCTGAAGAGGTAGCTGAAGGGGTAGTTTAAGAGGTTGAGGCAGGTGGTAGAGTATATATCCGCATAGCGCAGTAACTGACTGGCGAAGAGGGTTTTTGTGGAACCACAGCGTAAAAGACTGCCCATTTTCCCATAGCACAGATCCATGCCGTATGTCACCATCTGTAATGCATATCGAAAAAATGCTATGTTACAGTAAGGATATACAATTTTAAGAAACATAAAATTCAGAATATTGTTTGCATGAAGATAATCCACAAAACAGGTTAGATGAGAAACCATCAAGGTAAATGATGTGTGGCAAACTTACTGAGATGATCCTGAGAACTCACCTTTATCCTGCGCTGAATCGCACTAATATCCGGGCTCTCTTGACTTCCACTGTCCAAATGCCTGATGGGATAAAATGAGAGGTCAGCTGAAAAGTTCAATGTCATTCAGTGTTAACCCTCTGGTCATCTTTGGTCACTTTTGACTGAGAAAAAAAAAAAAAGTTTTTATGTTTTACTTCATCGGAATGGTCCAAAGTTGCGTTACTTTTTTAAAATGCAACTTGCGTTACATAGTTACTTTTTACGGAAAGTAATGCGTTACGTTACTTATACGTTCCATTTCCTCATCTGGGCTCGGCTTGCTTGAAAAAACTAATAAGCCTCAGGCTGAAGGAAATGCAAATTCGCGCCTGTACAGTAGAGGGCGCAGCTCAAACAAACCTTTCAGCTGTGCAGCCATTCTGGATTGCAGAAGAATAGGACTCAGGAGAAGAAAGTTCATCACTCTTACTTAAAAACAACAACAACAAAAGAAACACAAATGTAATGTTTGACTAAAGTTATTTTTGCCTGTGACTACGGTTGAATTGGATCATCGAAGGTCAGCAGCGAGACACAGTGCGCACACAACGATTTCTCTCAACATGGGGACAGGAGAGGTGTCAGTCAAGATAGGGGAAAACATTTATTTGAAAAAGTAATGTTTTACTTTATAGTTACTTAAAGTAATCTGATTACATAACTCACATTACTTGTAATGTGTTACCCCAACACTGGAAGTCACTTTGTGACTTTTGTGGCACTTGCCATGTGAACACTCAAGGCTTGTTCGATCAAAGTATTGCGAGAGGGATTAGAGAGCAGACCATGTGCTTTTGCATTGTGTTTGCGGTATGTCATGCACCGATCGGTCTGTGCAGAGTCGCTTCAAGTCGAACAAGCCTACACACACACACACACACAAATCACGGACATGATTTAAAAAGGTTAAATGGTCCTAAAAAAGTGACACTTGTACTCCTCACAGTCAAAAATGATCGCTTTATATGATGAACAGATTGAATTTAGGCTTTTATTCACATATGACCATTGATCAGCGAACATAAACAGAAGCTCAACTGAACCTGCTTAACACGCGCGTGAACAAACCTCATTGGTTCTTGCTGAAGCTCAAACATGCTGCGAAACACGAGAATTAACCTCATTGGTTCAGAAAAAAAGTCAGAATTGTGAGATAAAAAGTCGCAATTCTGTCTCTATTTCTCAGAATTGCGACTTTATTTCTCAGAATTGCGACTTTATTTCTCAGAATTGCGACTTTATTTCTCAGAATTGCGACTTTATTTCTCAGAATTCCGACTTTATTTCTCAGAATTGCGACTTTATTTCTCAGAATTGCGACTTTATTTCTCAGAATTGCGACTTTATTTCTCAGAATTGCGACTTTATATCTCGCAATTGCGACTTTATTTCTCACAATTCTGACTTCATATCTAGCAATTGTGAGATAAAAAGTCGCAATTATTTATTTATTCATTTTTATTCAGTGGCGGAAACAAGCTTCCATAGGTTCTCACACATCAAGGAAACACACTTCCATTTACCACAACTGATGTGTGTTGGTGAATGTTTAAATGTGAATTAAATATCGAGTCTCTTCAGAAAATTTTAACTGCTCAATTCAATTGGATTACGATATCTTTATGAACTTTTTGAAGCGTCAAAGTGTAAGTTGTGTAGCTGTCTATGGAGGGACAGAAAGCTCCCAGATTTCATTAAGAATTTCTTCATTTCGGTTGTGAAGATGAAAGAAAGTCTTACGGGTTTGGAACGAATGGTGAGTAAATGATGACAGAATTTAACTAACCCTTCAAGGGTACATAACAATACATAACAACAACAAGGGGGGGGGGGACATTGTGACATTTGAGGTGTTCGAACACTTTTGACCCCTAAATGAGGAGAACCAGATTAATGTTTGTGAGCGTTTCAGCTTTTGCTGTCTCTAAGTACCCAAAAAAGGTTAAAAAAAACTTTATTTATACAGTAAAAGCCTAAATAAAATATAATTACTAAATAACCTAATTCATTTGAACTAACACTACATTGAGTGTGAAGTCTGTGCACAGAAAAGCAAGTATATGGAGTGCTGTACTGCCATCTATCCATCATGCCTAGTATTGCACGGATTCTGGCAGAGAAAGACTCACACTTACTGATATAACTCTGCAAGGAAGATGTCAAGATGTCTCAACTCCTCAAACATACCTATAAAAAGACACAAGAGACAGTATTTTTAGCCTCTAGCAGTCAACTTTGCAAATCCATTCTTTATCAAATGATGAAAATGAAAGGGTGTTATTTACTGGTTTTGTCTGTCCACACATGCAGCTCCTTCACGAGCTCAGGAACCACCAGGAAAGTCTTCCAGCCCTGACGTTTCTTTGATTTGAGGATATCCCCAAAGATGTGATCCCCCACATAGAGGATGTCTTTGCCCTTAACATCCAGCAAATCACAGACAATATCAGAAGATCCTAAGAAAGGGGTTGAAGAATAACTGACATGAGCAAAAGTAGTGTCTTAATGCAAGCCTAGCAAACAGATCATGAATATGACGAGGACAACATGTGAAAGCTCCTCTGGCATTACCTCCAGAATACACTGTCCCGTGCTGGAGGTCTCCAGTGTATGTGCCAATACGCAGCTTACCAGTGACCTACATCAGGGAGCAATCAGAAGTTCAGTACAATCCAAGCTCACGCAAGACGGTTCCTGATATTTCATTGAACAAGTGCCTTAATGTTTATAAAAATATACAGTGTACAATGTTATTTATTTATTTATTTACTGCCATTCAAATGTTTGGGGTCTGTAAGATTTTAACGTTTTTAAAGAAGTCTCTTATGCTCACCATTCATTTGATTTAAAATACAGTAAAAACAGTAATATAGTGAAATATTATTACAATTTAAAATGACTGTTTTCTATTGTAATATATTTTAAAATGTAATTTATTCCTGTGAGGCAAAGCTGAATTTTCAGCATCATTCAGTCTTCAGTGTCACATGATCCTTCAGAAATCATTTGCCGCTCAAGAAAAAAAAGATTTTTTTTTTTAAACTGATACTGTGGATTTTTTTATGATTATAATATAAATATTATTCTTATTACATTCAATGTTTATGACAAACATGCACAACTATATTGGAACATGTACTAGTATACAGTGAGAATCATCTTGTCTGGGACACAATTTTGTTAAAATCAGCATATATAAAAGTAAATCCCACCATAATGGTACAAATATTAGGTTACACTTTATTTGAAGGTGTCCTTGTAACAATGTAATTATACATTTAAGTGCTGGGCATAATATCAATTAACATGTTAGAGTTTGGTTTAGGGTTAGTGGCATGTAATTATGCATAATTTATAGTTATTACTATAGTAACTACCTACATGTAACTTTTAAAAAGGTCACTGTAAAATAGTGATACCACATATTATGTCACTGAGAACAAGACTTTTCAATTCACTACAAAGAGAAATGTGGGGAAATGTATAGTAATGTAAATGTAGTAAAAAGCAATTTCTTTTTCCGTTTTTTTTTTTTTTTTTTGTAAAATGGAGCTAGACATGTTCCTGACAGTCTTAAGATTCACCCATAGTCTCATTGTTATTAAATCATTGGGTATAACAGCTAACTTTTACATCAAAACCCCCTTATTTTTGCCTGAATGAATGGTTAATTTAAAAGAGAGTACAGCTTTTGATTTCTACATGAATAGTAGCAGTGACTGTGCACCCCACCAGACAGCAGGAACCCACCGTGTCGACCTGTCGCAATACTGTCCCTCCTGCGAAGAACATGGGCTTCCTAGTGTCCACCACCACCAGGTCAAAGTAGGAGCGCCAGGGTTTCTTGGGGTTCTAGACAACATGAAACATTTCAGAATTTTAACATCTTTACGTGTGCATAAAGTCAGAGTAAATGATACTAAGTAGTATGTTTTGTGTCAGTCAGAGAGTCCTCGTGCTGCTCACCTTAGAGCCAGCCGGGGAATCCAGTAAGTACTTCATAATAGCCTAATTTGAGAAAAGACGTGATACAGCGTGATTAAAATCCAATTATGAATATTAATGATAGCGTGCAATGATATGCAGCCTGTCCGTGGCAGTGTAAATAATTTCTAGGGGGCTGGCGCTCTCCTTACCTCAGTGTAATTGAAGTCGCTGTTGGTGGCCAGGAACACTTTGGCGACCTCTTTAATGCGGCTCAGTAACACAGGAAGACGAGGCTAAACATAATCATATGTATATGAGTCTTTAGGCACATGCAAATCTATAATATAATTATCATAATGATGATTAGCATACAAAATGTTTCTCTCAGGCAATTTGAGAAAAAAATATATAATTATTAGGCTACTTACATCTTTAATCACGTACTTGTCCAGGTTCTTGAGTGTTCGTTCCTTCAGAGTGCCCTGAAAGACAAAAATAATAATTACTGTAATGTGTGTATGCCTGAATATTCAGCATTAATCATCAATTGCAGAGGACAACTGATGATTAACACATGTATGAATGGATTCTGATTGGCTGGCAATGTCTTATCGTTCATCAATTGAGAAAAATCATTCTGAAAGTGATTCCAACGTTAGCGTTCCTCTGTGTGATTATTGTTATAGTTGTGGACTTCCCTATTCTCATAGAATTAGAATGATTATTAAAACTTTATAGTTATCGTCCTCTGCGTGATCGGCCCTTTATAATCTACACACAAATGTTAGTGAAAATGGTCGTTTACCGTGTCGTGAAGGTGATCCATGGCGTCCCTCACGTCCTGAAACATGCTTCTGTGTGACATGAACAAGTCTCCGTGTTTGAACCCTTTCTGGCAACTAAGTGGGAGAGGAACAGTAAAACAGATTTTAGAAATCTTTTGAGCATCTTTTAAAGGTTCCTAATTTATTTTTTGAGGTCTGCTACAATAGGTTTACATGCATCCAAGGTCAAAAACACACTCTCACTTTGTCATAATATACATTGCAGCATAGCCTATTTTCGTACAGTGTCTGAAAATGATTCTATCTTTCTAAACCACTCCTTCCTGATACCTCAAGCGAACCGTCCCAGAGTTCGTTTGCAATCGGTCCGAGACTATCTCGTTTAGGCGATCTCGGAGTGATTGTTTTTGGTGCGGATCTGAGCACGATTGCCATGTTCACATATGCCTAAACAAACCGAACCAAGGGCGAAAACGCACCAGGTTCGAAACAAATCCTCAAGTGTAAAAGCACCCTAAGTTTCCTTTTTTAGCATATACTCAACAGACTCTATAGATTTGCTATATGGTTGCTAAGGTATTCAAATTGGTCGCTAGGGTGTTCTAGGTCTGCCATATGAACAGTCTGAAAATGATAATGGTTTGAAACCTCTAGCCTTAAGCATAAGCAAGAGTAATAGTGATGTTTGCCTCAGCAAAAACTGTCAATTATAAACATTATTCTCATGACTAAGCTGTAAAAGAGCCTGTTGCAGTTAAGAATAACTCACTCACTTTTTGTATCTGGTGGTTTTGGCGAAGAAGTCAAACAGGCACGCATAAAGATACGTCTCTGAGAACATGAGAGAGACAAATCATGTTAATAGAATCGATTATCCTTTCACTTGACCGTTGGGATGCAAAGGTTTCATTGTACCTGATAGGTTGAAGAGCGTGTTGAGGACGTAAAAGCGGTTAGTGTCGTCCCTCTGGATGAACTTGTTTGGATAATACTCATCAACCTGTTCACTGCAAACAGACACGCGTCTTAATGAGAATACAAGCAGACAAATAAGCTTTCTGACAAACCATACAAAAGCATTGGGAATATGTTCACATATCGGAAGGCGTGTGGCGAAACAATAACAGTGTGTCACTGAGCTGCCCAGCTAATGTGTCACAGCAGCGGCCAGTGTTGAGAGACTGCTAACAATACTGTTCTCAAACAACTGATCCCTGCTTAATAAAACCGTCCCCAAAATACCGGTACCCCATGTCTAATGAATCACCCTTTATAACACCGTCTTATACGTGAGGATAACCAACAGCCTCATTAACAAAATCTACAGGTGTTGGATATAAATATACTACTATAATGAGTTCATTACTTCTGTGTCTGATCTAAATAGAGAGTTGGGTCTCAAATTAGACATTTTCCACAAAAATGGAACAAAATAGTGGTTATAAGTTTTTGTTCATCCACCTCAGGAGGTCTAACTATTTTTTTTGTTATGATATATGACAAAATATAGATATTTTATTTTATATACACTACAGTTCAAAAGTTTGGTTGAGTAAATGTTTAATGTTTTTTTTTTTTTATAAATTTTTTAAATTCAATTTTAAGTAAGCTTGTATATTGTTATGCTTCGAGAAAAAGATTTGTTCATGAAGCAGAATGATTAAGATGTTTAGTTTAGGCTAACAATTGCTATATTCATTTTTTTAAATTCGCTTTTGTGAAGCCCCTTCATTGCTAACGTGCATTTTTTTTTTTTTACTTGTGATGTTAAACACAATATTGCCTTGCTCTGCTGTGCTAGTCTGTAACACAGATCCTTGTATTTCTTTATCTGTTTTCAACAGCTCTCAACCCTGTCGTTCCTTCACATTCGGTTTATTGGCTTTCAACCTGCCTCCCTTGAATGTTCTGTCCCACGCAGCACTCACCTTTGTTGGTATCTTCTGTTGTCAGAGAAAGGTTGAGGGGGCATTTGCGAGCAAACTCTCACTCAATACAGCATTGACTCGCGCCACAATGAATCATCTCACTCACCCTCTCAGGTACTCAAAGCCGTGAGTGCACACCAGGATGTTTCCATTGGAGTCTATTTTCAACAGGTTACCGTACGTAGTATCGTACACCAGGCCTCTGGAGAGGAGAGGAGAAAGAGAGGGAACGTTGGAAAGAACAAGAGTCTGGGAGCATTCAGACAAGTGAATAATTGATAGCAAAATATGGCCCTCTTAGGAGTTAAAACAAGAGTTCATTCATATTTATATTTCCCGCAGCAGTATCATTGAGCAGAGAGTTAAACTGTCTGCGTTTGGCATTCAGCACGTTTTAAAAACGACCTCAAGCAACACTATTGCTTTTACGAGACTCTTGAGACTGACGTAATGCAGGGCATTTTTATTTGTATGGTTACCCACAAAGGTTCTCAGGAAGGGTTTATAATAGGCTCAAAAATGACTACAAACACAAAATTAAGTGGACTTAAGGTCTCCATCTTGTACTAAAGAGATCAATTTTTATTGGAATTATCTGATAATTTACACTACCGTTCAAAAGTTTGGGGTCAGTATAATCTTTTTCTTAAAAAAAAAAATACATTTGTGTTTTTATTCGGCAAGGACAAATTAAACTGATCAAAAGTGACAGTTAAGACATTTATAATGTTACAAAAGATTTCTATTTCAAATAAATGCTGTTCTTTTGAACTTTGTTTATCTAAGAATCCAGAAAAAAATCACACTTTCTTCAAAAATATTAAGCAGCACAACTGTTTTCAACATCGATGATGATAATTATAGTAAATGTTTCTTGAGCATCAAATCATCATATTAGAATGATTTCTGGAGGATCATGTGACACTGAAGACTGGAGTAATGATGCTGAAAATTCAGCTTTATCATCACAGAAATAAATTACATTTTAAAATATATATCAAAAGAAAACAGTCATTTTAAATTGTAATAATATTTCACTATATTACTGTTTTTACTGTATTTTTGATCAAATAAATGAAGTCTTGGTGAGCATAAAAGACTTCTTTCAAAAATATTATTAACCTCAAACTTTTGAACATTAGTGTGTATATCACGGTAACCTAATTGCATAATTAATAATGAATTAAAAAACTATGAAAAATAAAACTAGCGAAAGAAAGAAGCATATTCATCATAAATCAAAACTGATCCTTTAATTTCTCAATACCAACTTTTCCACAATTCTACACTGCACATTATTTTAAATAAAAAATCTAAATGCAATAACTTTCTCCACTTCTGAAACAAATGAAGTTCACGAAAACCTTATCAACTCTCAAAGTACCTGCATATATTCATAATGCCTATTTTTCAAAAAATACTCGATGGAAATGACTGGATTTTGAAGTTATGAATGGCATTTCGTATCGACTTGAAAGCAAATGAACATAAATTAGTACAAATACTGAAACTGTAAACTGCAAAAAAAATATTTTCTTACTCAGTATTTTCGTCTTGTAATCATTTATAAATATCTAAACGTTCTTAAATCAAGATACATTAAATTAAAATGCAAAGATTTCTAGAGCTAATGCTCCTATTATTGTCATGAATTATCATTATAAATATTATCATTGATACTATCACCACTAATATTAATATATTGCTGTTGTTGTTGTGATTGTTGGGATAATTAATACTTCACTAAAGCTATACTGATACTACCGGACTGTCCCTATCCATACTTGCATCACAGAAAGGATCTCATGTCCCTACATACACCACTTTATCGATGACTGTACTGGGCTGTTTTGTATTTCGTTGTTTTTGTTTTGTTTTTGTGCTTTTTCTCTCTTATGTATTGTATATGTGTCTCACTACCTTGTATGTATTACTCCTTTGTTAATTTGCAATAAAAAATAATAATAATAAATAAATAAATAAAAATGCAAAATTACTTAAGATATTAAGTCTTGTTTTCTGAAAAAATGGATCAAAATTAAGTGAAAGGGGAAGAAAAATAAACTTAATTTAAAGGGAAATCCATTTTATTTTGCTTACCTTATTGGTAGACATTTTTATCTTGTTTTAAGCGTAAACTTGCTTTAATTTTGATATATTTTTCCGAAAACAACACTTGTTATCTGATGTCATTTTGCTTCTCAAGTAATTGAATCTTGATTTAGGGACATTAAGGTATTTGTAATGAAAAATAAGGAGAAAATCATATTTTGCAGTGAAGATTCCCCTGAACTATTCATTTTGAAATTCACTGCACTGTTGTCACTTCTTTAAGTTGCTTACATTTCTATTTTCCCCCTTGTGACATACCATTCCCATTGAAATCAATGGATTAATCGTGTCCTGTGACGCAACGTAAACCAGAATACGGATATTAAGAAGATGATGTGCATGTAAACACAGTCAACGTTCTGCTTGCACCGCCACAAACCCTCAAAAGCCTTTCCAATAAGCTCAGTTACCCAATATAGCCTGATCCAGACCCATTAATGCGCAACACTTACCGTGTGGGGAAGGTAGGGTCGTATGAATAGCCCAGCAGCTCGTGTGGGTATCCGATTGACACCAGCCTGTCTCTGAGCAGCTCAAAGCCCAGACTCTCATACTCTGGAGACTTATACACTGTTGAAAACACGAGAGTTGATGTGAAAGAAGCACTTCACACATAGTCTGACAACTTGCAACTCCCAAATGCACTATAAAAGCACTCACCCGCCAGAGTGTAATCCATGTCAAATCCATAGCACTTGATGTTTTCAAGTGTCAAACTCCGGTTCACAAACACCCTGAAGGGAAAGACAGGAGGTTGTTTATTTGATTGGTCATGCCTTTCTTACAGTTATCGATTTGGCATATACTTTTATCCAGAGAACACTTACACTGAATTAAATGGGACCCTTTTATGCCATTTTAAAAGTCTTCTTTTTTATGAAAAATGATTTCAATTAAATTATTTAAATGAGGGATATTGTGTTGCTGGAAGAAAACTCAAGACTACAAACAAAGCGTTTCAGGGAGCTCAGAAACAGTGCGCACTGATACAGAGAATAACTCTCATGCTTTGTAACTTTGCAGACATTTTTCATGCTCAAACAGCAACATTACACATGAAGAAAGATGAAAATGTACAAAATAAATAAACATCCTTTAAGTTATAATCAAAGCCACAACCTCAGTGTAGTAACCCTGGCATAAATGCTGAATTTTGTAACATTATTGAACTGAATTGAATCAACATTGACTCGAGCTGAATAACGACACTGCTGTCTTCTGTAGAGCTTCTTATGACTGAATTGAACTAATTTCATTACTGATGAATGTTACACAGTTATTGAACTAAACTGAATCAACACTGAACTGACTCGAGCTGAATAATGACACCAATGTTTTTTTAGAGCTGCTTACAGCAGAATTTCAATTTGTTTCATATTTGATGAAGTTTGCATCATTGGTCGTTTATTACTGTGAAACTGCTTTAAAACAATCTGTTTTGTATAAAGTGCTGTAGAAATGTAGATAACTTGACTGAGCAACAAGAACACGTAATACCGCCAAAAAGTGGTAATTTACGTGTTTGTATTGAAACGTGCAGTGCTTATCACACTGTCCTATATATCAAGTCAGCGCAGTTTAGGTCTGTTCTTATCAGGTCCCTGGCATATGACATCAGTGCAGCTGGTGTGAGGTCACTGCCGTTCGAAACATGTAAAGACGTAGGGTGAAGGAACAGCCAACTGGCACTCTTTCTTCTTGGCAATTTTTCAATGCAAACAAGTCGTGTTTTTATATTTACAAAGGAAAGGACTGACTAAGCAATGTAAAAACAGTAAGACAATGCAACTTGATTAAATCGAATGATATTTTAAATGTTGCATGCTTGACAGTCAACTTATGTTGAATTTGAAAAAGAATTGAGGTTGAAATCTTTGATATCTGTATATCACAACTATTCCTAAAAATATTACTGACCAACTGACGATTGACAGTTTCATATACTCATATATATATATATATATATATATATATATATATATATATATATATATATTAGTGCTGTCAACCGATTAAAAAATAACTAACATTTTTCTGTAATTAATCACGAGTAATCACGCCTAACATTAAAGGTTTTAATGTGTTTTTATATTTGTAATAATTTCACATTGAATCTCCCAAGTAATGTAGAAACAAAATGAAGATGGTATATTTTGAATATTTGTAATGCCATCTTATGAATGAATCTTATGATACCAGTACTGATACTGATGTCACTATTACATTGATTGTATAGCCAATCAACATTACAGTATAACTGAAAGCTATATCTTTTTTTAACTTTTTAACATATTTAACATTTTATAGCCTTTTAAAAATATAACAACTTTTAATTTAAGTGAACTTAAATCAATCTTTGCATAAACCCATTGTAATAAATGTTACATTTAGCTGTGCCTTTAATATATCAGGGCTCAACACTAACTAACAGGTATACAGAAATTGAATTATCAAACACTGCACAGTGCAGTTATAAATTGAATATTAGTTGCCTTGATGAATTTATTGGCTGAATGAGATATTTTGTATTTAAAGGGATAGTTCACTTTGAAATTAATTTTTGGTATGTTTTAGCTTACCTCAAGGGCGTTCTTGTCTGTCAGTCATATAATGCAGGTCTATGGTCACCACCTCAAAGAGCATGCACAGAGAAGTCCAAATTAAACATGATTTAATGACTCGTAAATGTAAGTACACATTGATGGCCTAAGACACGAAACAAGCGGTTTGTGAGAGAAAACGAACAGTATTTATATCGTTTTTACCTCTTGTAACCACAGCCACGTCCAAGTGATCTGAGGGCGCGGGCGCTTCGGTCTGCGCGTTACAAGAGGTAAAAACGATATAAATACTGTTCGTTTTCTCACACAAACCGCTCGTTTCGTGTCTTAGGCCATCAATGTATACTTACATTTACGAGTCATTAAATCATGTTTAATTTGGACTTCTCTGTGCATGCTCTTTGAGGTGGTGACCATAGACCTGCATTATATAACTGAGACAAGAACGGTTTGACCTAAAAATATCAAAATTGAAACTTCTGCGGAAACAAAGACACCTACATCTTGGATGCCCTTGAGGTAAGCTAAAACATATAAAAAATTTATTTCAAAGTGAACTATCCCTTTAAACGAACAAATTCAAAACAAAGTAGTGTTATGCCTTATACTCGACGCGTCCGCACGAGCGCGAGTCTCCGCTGACTGCGCGCGCACCTCTCCAAACGGACGAGGCGTTTATACTTGACGCGCTCGCCGTTGTGCTATTCTGTGAAACGACAGGGGGCGACTCGGAGTAATTCTCCTCTAAACCACCAGGAATCAGCAGTGAAGAAGTAGTTTGCCGTTTATTAGTAGTTTATTAATAGCTGATTCATATTAAAAGAGTAATAAATGCAGTAGGTGTATTGTACTTTCTTGTACAAACTCGTTAAACAACTGAAGCCTTATTGAAGAGTGTTTAAACCTTAATTTCATCAGCAGGGCTTACTTCTGCTATTGTAGGCTTATTTTATAAATGTAAGCAGTTACTTTAGACAAGTGCAAACTGGGTGCTTAATGCAAATGTGTTCCTATTCACAAAATGAGAGGCTTTTATGGTCGCCCATCAATGCAAATGTCTCTGTGTATAGAAGGATCATAAACATGCTGGTACAGACGCACCAGTTCGGCCTGATTCGGCTCGAAGTCGTTCATCTTCGGATGCGGCGCCGCGCGCGATGTTACAAAAAGTGCCGTGCACACCGCCAGGCGAAATGGGGTCTTGCGCACCCAACGCGCACGACCGCCCACACCGCAATGACGTCATTTTAGCCGCGCGCACTTCGCGCACTTGCGGACGCGTCGAGTATAAACAAGGCTTTACTTAAGACAATTTCTAGCACAATACACTGTAAAAAAAATATTGTTGGTTTAACTAAGAAAAGTAAGTAATCTGGTTGCATTCATTTTGAGTTCATTGAAACAAAAATTTTTAGTTACAAAGAAAGAGATTGATTCAATCAACAGAAACTCAAAATATTGTGGTACAAGTTGATTTGACAAATGAAAAGGTTGTGATAAATCATGAAAATAATTTCATATAATGAAGAGAACCTAAAAAAGCGAATGCATCAGTTCTCTCAACAATTCCTTTTTTTATTTTACAGTGAGTGTATTTATGTCTCATTGACTCACTGTGCAGGTTCAGTTGAAGATGTAAAACAGGTTGTGATAGTCATATGTTTGCAATGCCATATGCAACCTTTCTTATCATAGTTATTTTCAACTTCTTTGATGACACACATGAATTCTTAATGAAATAGTTCACCCAAAAAATTTAATTCTGTCATCATTCACTCGCTCTTTTGTGTTCAGCAGAGGAAATAAAGTCATACAGGTTTGGCACGACGTCAGGGCAAGTAATTAATTTTAATTTTGGGGCGAACAATCACTTCAAGTATGTCCAAAGTCTTAATGATTAAAAAGCACAGTTAATTACCTAGATGAGTGACTTGTCATCTGTGACTAACTATTCACCGAGAAAAGAAACAATCAGTCTTTTATCTTTGAATAGATAAGACTGAGTATACAGGACCAACTAACTGAATTTAAATCAAATGAATGAATGTATAAAATTTAAATAAATAAACACTTTATTTTAGTGTCCTTGTTACACGTTACATGTACTTTACTATAGTAATAAAACAAAAATTATGCATAATTACAAGCAACTAAACCTAAACCAAACCCTATAAGTGTTAATAGTGCTCAGTACTTAATAAATTACACTGTAAGGACACCTTAAAATAAAGTGTAACCAAATAAAGCAAAACAAAAATAATTTGTCTATGTAGGTATATTATTGTTTTATGACAGACGTTATTATTTTTTGGAAAAGTTACATTTTGTTTAGATATTATATAGAGCATTGGCCCAGGTTAATGTCTAAATATGATGCTTTAAGTAAATTGATGTCATTGAGAGGCAAGAAACTCAAAGCCTGTCAGTGGAGGCTATTGCCACATTATTGTGAAATCAAACTACAGGAAATGCCTTTTTTTGTCCAAAAAATATCCCATGAGGCAGCATGATATATGACAAACACCGAGACTTACTACAACAAAGTGGTATTGTAGTGGTATAACGACACAATTTAAATAAAAACAAACAAATCAACTGAAAATATGAATAAATAACAGCATACTAAGACCCGTGTTTCTAAAGATCGTTTAAGCTGGTTAAAGGCTGGTATTCACCTGTATGACAGTGTAAAAGTACCTGTTCTTACCTGTGATGTATTTCTTTTTTGGCGCTGCGCATCTCCATCGCGAGTGTCCGGTCTGTGTGTTCGCTCGCGCTCCCCGAATCACTCTCTGGTCACTCTGAACTGTCACGACACCCTTTGCGCTTTAAAATGTACCATGATGTTGACATCACTAGTGTGAATTTACCTTGGGTTTGGCTTGTAAACAGGAACCTTAAGTACGTAGTTTGGGCGTGTGTGGGGTGCACGCGAACACGAGTGAAGTTTGAAATCGGTCGCTGTGGACTGGCTCCAGCGCGCAGCTCGAGCACGTAGATTGTGTTATCAGTATCAGACAGGCGCGCGCGCTCGCCTCAGGACGCAAAGGTCCCGTCCAGCGCCCAAACACGAGACCATCGATACTGCGCCACCGAGCCGACTAGAGTCAGGAGCATTTACAAATTAACCGCGCATTCATATTTCATTTAGCGCACGAGTGTTCCTCCCTTCATTCATATTCGCGACAAGAGAGTGCGTCTCTCACACCGGGGAAAGTTGTCACAGTGGCTATAACTATAGATATACTCGCTTAGCCTATACTTAAAGACAAACTTGTCACGTGTTTTAAATTTTGAACAAATGAAATGTAAACACTTAAATTTCAAACTCCGCTAATATATATTTAAACAAAACCTGTGTTTCTTTCTTCTGTGGAACATAAAAGAAGACATTTTGAGAAATGTCTGTGGTTTTTGTCCATACCATGTTCCTTCATGCTGCAATGTGACATCCAGGATAAAGTCCTAACAGATCAATACATTCTCAGGAATATTTTGAACTTGCATTTATTTTTATATTGCCATTTTCTTTATAATTTTGAAATGTGCTCTGGACAATTGTATTAGTTTCTTATTTTTTTTATTTAGCTTTATTTTTATTTTAGTAGGCTATTTACAATTTTCAACCAATATCTGCATTTTATTTTAGCTTTATTTCAATTAACGAAAACAAGTGTTTTTTTTCTTTTTCTGATTAATGTCCATAATGAAGTCAATTTTAGCCAAAAGTTTTTGGTTTTTAACATTCTTTACAATATCTTATTGTGTGTTATACAGAAGCAAAATTTCTTCTGGTTTTTATGGGTGAACCAGACCTTTAACCCACTTTTAAATGTAGAACATTTTAAATCCTAAATGTTCTTTTTTTTTTTTTAAGTAAAGAATGTGATGGTTTTAGAGAATATGTAATTCAAATAAATTGTATAATATTTAAGGATAAAACAGCCACTTGGCAGAAACAATAAAGCAATTTTCTGTTTAATTTTCAATTATACAGTCATTTTGGTGGAGTCCAATTTTTTTATTTGATAGTTTTATGGCGTGTGGTAAGAGGTCAACACACCTCTGAGGACTGATACTCAAGCCTTACTAATCACTACTGAACTATCCAAGGAACAATGTCAATAAAGTCATTGCAGCACAACAACTGTATCAGGCCAAACCTGAATTGGTGTCTCTCGGCGTGACAAAGTACAAACATATTGATTCAACATTCAGTTCGCCTCTAATTAAAATTAGATTTTTGAGTTAAAAAATGTGATGTGGCTTACAGTTTAACACACTAGATGTCACCAACAGAATAGCCAAACAGATCACAGAGTCATCAGCCATCAAAACAAGAAGTGGATATTGGGTGTAAGATGACTTTTTATTGGTCAGCTTCTGATTTAACTACATGACTAATTCTGGTGCTAAAGCTTGGTAGATATGTCAGTTTGTATGTTGTTGATGTGTATTGAGCTCAGTTTGGACTGTAGTGAGTATCTGCGTTTCTGGTGCATTCTCTTAAAGTCTTCGGAGATCTCCAGAACAGTTTTATTCTTTGTCTCAGGCACGTGGAACCACACAAAAACACCAGAGAAGAAGCAGAACACAAAAAATACGAGGAAGCAAAAATAATCCAAATGCTCCTGCAATGGAGAAATACATTAGTTAAGAAAAAAAACTAATAGCGCAAATAGGCATGTTTTCAAAAGTGTACTTTATATTTTTTGGTTTATGTCATCTTGCACTTATACTGACACCTAGTGGTGTGGGTGTATGTAAAAGCACCCTTCAGTTTTCAGTTTCAGATTCCACTGATGAAATGCACTGTTCACATTAAGCCATAATTAATTTATTCTTCAAGTGAAAGTGTTGGGTAACAAGAGTAGTAACCAAATAAAGTTGAGTAGTATTAAACTGGTCATGTGATCTAAAAATGGCAGCCTCCATAAGGAGACCCACTCCATGTAAAATAAAAAGGGTTTTAATAAGGCTACTAAATACGAGTGGAGTCTTCATCTCATGTGAGATTACATTTGAAAAATGTTTAAAATTATGTACAATTTTTGCATGTGTAAATTCTAAGCAAAAAATGGGTCATAAAATGATTGAGGCGGACCAGCTCACCACCATAAGAGGAAACAACATGCCCACTAGAAAGAGCCCGACCCAGTTGAGGATGCAAGCCACCATGAACGCTGGAGGTTTATAAGACTGTGTGAAAATCTCACCAGGAAGTGATGCGGTCACCCCGGCTGTGGAAGAGAGAATTCACAAGAGTATTTTTGAGGCCATAGAGCCACAAACATGAGTCTGAAATGCACTCTGAACGTCAGAAAAATGTGTGGATGTACCTGGCCCGCTAGAGAAGAAGAAAATGTAGGTGAAAATAAGGACAATGCTGCAATATGGCATCCAGGATACAAAGTTCTATAACAGAGTCAGACATATCCAATCTCATCAACAGCTTCATGTATACAGTACCCATATAAACTGCTCATTTAATGCTCATTAATTCGTTTTTCTTTAATGTGTACCTCAATTGTTATTTTACCTGATTTGTCTTTAAGAAATAATTCACTTTATGACATTCTTTCTTCAATGAAATGCAAAATATGTGGATAAGGTTTTCTGTGAATAATGCGTTAAATTGTGTCTGTTCCTCAACAGAACAATCATGTGATCACAGAAAGCATGGAATAAAGCTTATATCTGTACTACCTTTATTGTACTTTTATCACATTATTTTTGTCATTTTTAAAGCTTGACATCTGCAGTCCCCATTCACCCCCATTTTACAAAATTATCACCTTGACATTTGAGAGTTGTGGTGAAGGTTTTTTGTGAATAACAACTTAAATTTAGCCCATTCCTCAAAAAAAAGGAAATCAATTAATTAAAAGACATTCGCCATTCGGTTTCATTATATGAAAAACAGCCACCTGAGATTTAAAAAGCTGTGGCGAAGACTTTTTTTTTTTAAACTACTTATAAGGTACTTTCATGATGCTTTTTGTCATTTTTGACATTATTTTTAGCCATTATATGAAAAGAGCAGCTGGATATTCTGCAAACATCTCTTTCTCATATGGCTTTGGAATGAGACTAAGTAAATGCTGACTCCTTTAAATGTAGCTGCACAAGCAGCGCTTTTCTTGTTAATAACTGAATTATTAGCCATACACACAAACTATCATTTGAATTCTCATTCAAAAATTAACCACACAATGTATATAATTGCACGATTGCATAATTAAAAAAAATAACCAAACCTGGAGGTAAAGAGTGAGTGTGAGCAGGGCAAGTGAGGCCGCCATGCACAGGTAACCCCTAAAGAGAAGCACTCTCTTCCCTGTACTCTCAATGATCAGCACCTGGATAAAAATAGCACAGTAAACAACCACACAAAACCAACAGAAGCTTCCTTTAAACCAGGTCACATCATGTTTTGAGGTTGAGGTGGTGAAGAGCGGCTCACGCAGGCAATGGAGGTGGAGACTTCACACAGGCCTGTCCCTAAGGCGGCGTAGCGCAGGCTCTCCTTGGCAATACCGGCAGCTTGAAACACATCAAACGAATAGAGATAGACCTGCAAAGACATCAATCACAGGCCATATGAACACCAATACCTTTAAATTCTATTATTCATCTTTGAAACTGAATGATGAAAATAATTACGGTGGCTTTCTTTAAAAAGAAGAATGGGGGGGAAGGCAATTCTGGTAATGTGTTTTCTGTGCTGTGTGAAGTCAATTTCCTGAGCAGATTGTGGAATGTAGCGGTGCGTTTTGACAAAATAAGCGTTCTCGATTCAATCATTTTTGGATTGAGCAGGTGCGGGCGGCTCCGTGTCTTTCCTGTGACTCACAGCATTGATGCCGCAGAGCTGCAGAGTGACGAACGTGACGAGGATGGTGAGGAGCTGCCAGCGGACGTTGTGGTCGAGGAAGAGGTCCATGAGCCCCTGGATCTTCACTCCCTTCAGGGTGGTGTGTTCAGCCAACATCTCCTCCATCTCTGGTCCAGGGTCCATTTCAGCCCCCCACAGCCTGCGCAGAGCTGGGCCGTAACAAACATTGTCAAACAACTTGACAGAATACACACTCAAATTTAAGAGAACGTGATACAAATACTGTTTTGACACACTTTGGCTTGGGAAGCGTTTGCCGATCGATTAAAAGTTTGGGGTTGGTAAGATTTTTTTTAATGTTTTGAAAAAGGCTTCACCAAGGCTTCATTTATTTTAATAAACAAAATACAGTAAAACAGTAATATTGTGACATTTTATTTCAATTTAGAATAATTATATTCAAATATATTTTAAAATGTCATTTATTCCTGTGATCAAAGCTGAATTTTCAGCATCATAACTCCAAATTGGAACTTTAAATTGGAATATCGCATAAAACATTTGCAAATAAAGCACCGTTTTTCACTTTGCTCAGGCATTTCAGAACGACCAAAACAACATTTTCAGATTCTGCGCAATGAGATCGTTCCGCTGGTTAGTCCAGCTATGCCGTCCCATCGCAAACTATCGATACGCATCAAGGAATTTATTTGGTAACTCTGTTTCCATCGTAGTTTATGCGCATGATTTCTTATCGGATAAAAAGTTTATTCGACTTTTAATTCGTGATTAATTATTTATTTATTTTTCTTGACGTTTCCATCCAGCGTTTTTTATGCGATATCCCAAAACGCGCATAAAAATAGGTGGATGGAAACATAGCTAGTGTCACATGACCCTTCAGAAATCATTCTAATATGCTAATTTGCTGTGCATGAAACATTTATTATTATTAATGTTGAAAACTGTTTTTGTTGCTTAATATGCTTGTGGAAACCCTGATACACTATTCAGAAGTTTGGGGTAAGTAAGATTAAAGAAAAAGAAATTAATACTTTGATAAAAAGTGACAGTTATGAAATGTATAATGTTACAAAATAGCAGTACATAAAATATACAAAACTATTTTAAATGTTTCTATTTCAAA